GAAATCGAGCGAATAAACAAAACAAGAATTATTCCAATTTTCTAAACTCTGAATTTCACCAAGAAGGTGTATCCAATACTCACGGATTGGCGATGAACCAACCAGGATACCATCAATATCTACCCATGACAAAGCCAATACTAGAGTCTATAGTAACAATGGGTCAATCAGGATCCTTTATTCATCTGACATGGAATAGAACTAGTCATGATATACTAGTAGAGACACCCAATATCCCTGAAGGAGGTGGTAGGAAACCACTTTGTTGCTATCATTGCAGAAAAATCAGATATTATGCGAATGAATGTCCTAATCCAAGGGCCAGTGATGACTTTGCTCGAATATGTAGAAATTGTAAGCAGTTTGGTCACACTTATGAGTAGTGCAATATGTCCTTTAATTATAATAATCGGAACCAGTAAATGTAAAGAAGCCAACCGACAGAGGACAAAGGTCTTGTTTAATAAGACTCACCAGTACATCGTGTCAAGGTGGTCAACATAGTGCTTACCAGAGGCCAACAAAATGACAAGAATCCAATTCAGGACCTGGATGAATCAATCGTAGGAGAGCAAGTAGTGCCATCCATGGGGCTAAACGAACCAATATCAGTATTGGGACGTATCCCAATATTGAGACCTCAACAGACTGAGGAACCTAATTTGGTTCCACATGCATATTTATCGAGACCATTAAGAACGATCCCAATTGACCAACTACGAATACCTGTACAGCCCAATAAAAGATCTTACGCATTAAACGAACCTTTAGTAGTAGAAAAGTTGGCGAAGTTATCAACGACAATCCCAATCGCTAGGAAGGAATTGCTGTTGAACGGAGTAAAATCGAAACCAATGAAACGCAAAAGAACATTGGAAATTACTCTCAATATGGAATCCTACGATATTTTGAAGGATTTGGATGTTATTCAGCCTTTAATTACAATGAAGCAACTTTTGGCTGTAGCATCGAAATGTCGATCTACATTGAATTAAACTCTAATACGACGAAGATCCCACACTAAAAAAATTCATGAAGTTAGCTTAAATCTAGATCCGGGAGCATCAACAATCGATGTATCAATCGATGGCATTTTAATTCTAGGGGTATAAGTCGATGGTGGCTCCAATGTGAATTTAATGAACATGGATACAATGGAGGACTTGGATCTAAAGCAATTGCTACCTACGACATTGGTCTTGCGAATGGCAGATCATAGTCAAGTAAAGCCAATGGAAATCTTACGTAATATTGCCATTGTAATCACGGGATTGACATACAAAATCGATTATATTGTATTTCGATTATAGAGTTCTACATTATCATATCCCATTTTATTGGGCAGACCTTGGCTTTATCAAGCCAAAGCTAAGAACGATTAGGGTCGAGGCACATTGACAATTGGAAAAGGCCGTGACTAGATTGTTTTACAGATGTACCCGGTACAATATCATGGAGAATCTCAATTGCCAAAATCAGAATTTACATCAGACAACAAGAGTCAATCGATTGGAAAAGATGCTGATGCTATAGGTTCATCGCAATTTGGGTAGAAAAAAATACTTCAACAGCAAAGGTATGAGTCTATCAATGTGAAAGTCTTGGCGAATATTTACTACATCAAGAGGATGCGACTAACTTAGATCATGCTATTGCCGAATGCATGAACAATCCCGCAGTCAATAGAGTCAGCACATTGGAACCAGATTTGGATGGTTTCCATATATCGGATAATACAAGATATTTAGATCAGGAGAAGACAATTAAATCAGAGGTTGTTGAAGACCCTATGTGTCAATCTATTAACCTGGGTACCAATGAAATGCCACAGCTAATTAAAATATATGCCAATATTATCGGTATAGAATTGGATGCTTGAAAACAGTTTTTGTCCATCATAAATCTATCTTTGCATGGTCGTATGCGGATTTGAAAGGGATTCCAGTTGACGTGTGTGAGCACCAGATTATTTTGGAGGAGGATGTTATGCCAGTTCGTCAAAGATAACACCGACTTAATTCAAAATATTTCCTTTTAGTGAAAGAGGAATTGGATAAACTTCTCGACGTGGATTTTATGTATCCTGTTCTGCATAGTGCATGAGTGTCGCCAATCATGATGGTACCAAAAAAGAATGAAAAAATCCGAATTTGTCAAGATTTTTGGAAACTTAATGCGGCCACCAAGAAAGATTACTTTTTATTACCTTTCATAGACAGTATGGATAACATGTTGTCATTATCACCAGGTAGTAAAAGAATAGGAGTGGGGCACGAGTTAAAGTCATTCTGTGGTGTTGTTTTGGGTTGGCTGGAATGCCATTTTCTTATATTTCTTGTATTTTTGAGAGTAATAGTTCTAATTAAGAGTTAACAGTGAGGAGCCAGTCACAAGTATCAATTGAAGATATTCCAGAATGGATGAGTCAGCAGCAAGAATTGGAACTTCGAGATGCCCAGATCTTGAAATTGAAAGCTCAAGTCCGTGAATTAGGCAAGTACAATGAAGACCTTTCAGCTCAGTTGAGGTAGGAGCCGATGGAAGGATTGGAGGAGGATGAAGATTTGCATTTGGAACCGGAATCGGTGGAACCAATAACAGATAATGCAGCAATTGATTAATTGGATAGGCCAGAGGAATCATAATTTTTGTAGAGTTTTGTTAGATAATTTTTAGATAGGTATCAATTGAGTGTTTGCGAGGATGTTGCACAGATAAGAGTAGGGCTATGTAGAATAGATATTAATTCATTTTTGAAAGATATTGATAAAATATATTTATAGTCTATATAATAGGAAATTCAGGAGGACGGATGAGTGATTTAGTTCTTAAAAGTGGTTAATTACAGAATTACGGTTAAAATCTGGAGAATCAGGAGAAAGTATATAGGAGTTGTAGAAGTTAATTAAGGTGCCATCGTTGTGATAGTCATGAGCCAAGGGCCATCGCTGTGATAGTTGTGAGCTGAGGTAAGCTTGGTGCTACGTCTTTTCTTTTCTTTGTTATTTTCTTTGAATAAGAGGATTGAGGATTTCTGAAGATTGTGAACTGAATTATGGAATGGAAATGTGATTGGTATTATTTGAAAAAAAGAAAGATTGAATGCTGAAATCTGATTGTAGTTCAGCAGAGAGAATGAGTTTGTGTTTGTGTGAAACACCGTAATGTGAATGGCAGTTCTGTGTGAAGAATTCCAGTAATTGAAATGAGGGTAATTGTGTACTGAAAGCTATGAGGGCACAGTATTATAGTTGGAGATTATGAGGGTGAATATATTGGTAGAAATATCAGTTATTGGTATGATTGAATTGTTCTAAGGAAGAGACCGATAAGGTGAAGGAGGAGATTATAGTTTCCTTGTGTGTTTAGATATTGAAAATAGAGACGATACATTCAAGAGGTAATTGATTGTATGACCTTAATGTGAATGCTTAAGCAACTAGTCATTCCCTGTGTTCGAATCTTCTTATACGAGTTTATTCTGGGAGGTTTCTTCCAGAATAAGTAAAATGAGCAATCACATGTTGATGACCTTAATCTAGTGGATACTAGATCTACATGCATTGTAACTATTAACTTACTTATCCATGAGTTTGAGATGAAAATATTAGGAAAAATAATTTTTTACATTGGTCTTCAAATTAAGCATCTCATAGATGGTAGCATTTTTTTCTACCAACTAACATATATTAGACAAATCTTATGAAAATTCAATATGATTGATGTTTATTTATTATCAACACCAATGGTTGGACATGATTGTGATGGTAACAATCTATGCCATTTGTGTAAGGAAGAAGAAGAAATATTAAAAGATTAGTATCCATAAAAGTCTTGATATCACATTTGCAATTAATGTTCTTACAAGACATAGTACACGTTCAATACTATGATATTAGAATGGCATCAAACATTTATTACATTATTTAGATATTGAAGACTTGAAAATATGTTGTATATGATTTGTAAATTAAAAACTACTTGGATATTGTCATGCAAGATATAAATTTGATATTGCAATAGTTAAATCTCAAATAGGCTATGTATTCTTAAAACATGGAATTATAATATTATGAAAATTAGTAAAACAAACTATAATTGTAACTTCATCCAATCATACAAAAATTATTGCTTTACATGAAGCATATGAGAGATGTATTTGGTTGCAATCAATTGATAAACTCATTTAGACAACTTATGGACTTTCATATGATGATTCTCATACTATTTTGCATATAAACAATAATGCTTGTATTACACAAATACAAGTTGGTTTTATTAAAGGCGACAAGATAAAGCATATTGATTCAAACTATTTTAAATATATCCATGACTTGCCTATTGATAAAGCATTTAAGTTCAAGAAAATTGAATCTATAAATAACTTTACTCATTTCGTTACTAAAACTTTGACTTTAAGCAAACATCATTGACTTACTTATGACAATAGCATGAAACTTTTCTTATATAAGAAAATTAATGAAATGTTTAAATAATTAAGAAAAATGATATTATAGTTTTTTTCTTTCATCTATGGTTTTTATTTTTCAATATAATAAGCTTTTTTCAAATAAGATTTCAATGAAGCAATAGCTATTGATCATTCAAAATTATAGAAAAGTATAGATCATAATTCTATGTAAATTTTATGTAATATAAATATTATGAGAAGCAAAAATGAGTGTTGAAAGTATTAATTGTCAACAATGCTAAGATTTACTTTCTTTATAGTAAATAATTTAGCTACAATGTTTAGAATGTAGTGGACAGAAACTACTTATCTTCTTCCCTTTTCTTTACATATAAGTGAAACAACCATATCAAGTCATCGTTTATGATACTCTCTCTCCATCTATATTGACTTGTGAGTGTATTTTGTGTATAATTGCATTACTTCTAGCTATTCTTGTGTCTTTCTAAAACATTTTCAACAAATTCAACAAGCAAAACGTAAAAAGCACTAAGCTAAACATTTGTATGACACAATGTACAGCTTTACATTATGTTGATATAAGTACCTTTAATATAAGTACCTCCAAAACTCATCCAGAAATCTTTAAAATTACCAGCTCCGATGAAAGTTACAAATCGCTCCCACAAAACTTGCTACAGTGATGAACTACCCCACAAGTACAAATGTAGTTTGTACAAGCTGCACACGCTGCACAAATTCGATGTGATATCTATCAACTGACACATAGCCACATTATTTTCCGTGATTACATACTAACAGTTTGTCGTAAAACTCCCCACCAGATCTATCATACAGATACTGAGTTATGTTTGCCTGAGACAACGCTGCTCCTGATGCATAAAGCAAAACAGTTCCACGGACACACAGCTTATCCAAAAGGCTGGATATCACTCCATCACATGTCCGCAATCGCATGACCTACATCCGACGACAATCTGTGCCAAAATGTGCCATACCATCACCCTCAACGTATCTAACAAGAACTATGTTGCTGTGCACAACAAAATGATACTAACACTACATCCATCACAGTGTAACCTCAGCTATAGCTGATACACAACACTGCTTCAACACCTGCTACCTCTCATCAGTGCCCAACTTCCACCTTTAGTATATTTAGAACCAACCGCAACCATTACAGCTTCCTTATTCAAACGACTCATCGTCCCATTCGCTGCGATTCAAAGTTGCTCAAGAGCCTGCACCATATCTCGCATCACATCCTCCCCACATCCATATCTCCGATCCTCTTCACCAACTCTATTTATTCCTGCATTCATCGAGCGGCACTGTTAGGTGGGCACAGATCACCGCAAACCTTCAGATGGTTCCACAAATGTTCCTCTACCAACCAACTGCATCCCAAGATTGCCTCCACCGAAATCAGCAAGATGATTAAGTCCGCTTACAAGCAGGAGTCATCTTCCACACTTGGTTGTCTTGGTTCTTCCAAGCAAACGTGATCAAAGGCGATCCCGTCTTCACGCCGCCCGACTTCTTATCGCCACGAAGAACGTCCAAGTTCCTTGTGATCGACGTCACCACGCGGATGCAGCGATACCCTTGCCCCATGTCCTCGCTCATCGTCCACAACACCGACTCATCCAGACCATTCGGCTCATAATCCGCCAACAAACACTGCGACATCACCAGCCATCCATTTTTGGGCCTCAACATCGCCATCACTGCACATCGTCTACTCTTACTCGCCAGCCTGCCTAATGGAGATTCCGCATTCAGAAGTGAGGCTCACGCACAACAAATTTGTAAGAGAACATCACCTGCTTCAGGTCCTCAGGTGGATGTCGCAAACATTCGCCTGTAACCTTGTTGATCAGGGCGAAGGCATGGGCTCCTGATTCGTCTGTCACTCGATTGCTCATGGACTCGTCTCTGTACCAAATCTGACAACACACACCCACCATGTATCAGCCCAGCGGTCTGCAGATACTATCAATTCGCATGCTGCTGAATATTCCTACGCTCTACAGAAGAGAGGTATTGTTGACTGCTGCGGCAGTGGACGATAGATTGACACATGCCTACACACTGCAAGACACCCGACCAAACAAACCAGCTGCTGTGACCTCATTGCCTTACAGAGTCGTTGATATAGTAATGTATCTATCACGCTAACGACAGGTGAATATCTTTCGCCCGCGTACCTGGTGAGCATCGCTGGCATTAGTCGGCACCATGATCGTTCCTTGGCCTGGGATAACGGCGATGCTGAAGTTAGGATCTGCTCTGCAATGCAGCCTCACCGCATGTCCAGGTAGCTGCCGTCGTCGAGGGGGCTCGTAGTCTGCACTCACCCCCACCCCGGTTCCAGGGGCGGACGGATATATTGAGGGCTGGGCTGCCGAGCCACCGATTCCAGGACCTGTTTGGGACAGCCAACCGAGTACACTCGTCCTCATCAACAAGTATCTTCATCAAGATTCACCAAAATCATTCCGTCACCCACACCCGTCGTCACAAACTGCGTCCATGACAGCCGCTTTAGGATCAAGGTGCATCACTGCAAACCCTCCATCAAGGTTCCTCGATGTGTCATGCGGCACTGGACTGGATCCCCTTATTGCTTCCACCCACGTAAGAGAAGTTCGTGCGTCAGATTACCAACAGGAGTCATCTTCCATACTTGGTTGTCCTGGTTCTTCCACGCAAACGTGATCACAGATGATCCGTTCTTCATTCCACCCGACTTTTTGTCGCCACGCAGAACATCCAAGTTCCTCGTGATCGACGTCACCACGCGGATACAGCGATAACCTTGCCCCATGTCCTCACTCATCGTCCACAACACGGACTCGTCCTGAGCATTTGGCTCATACACCACCAACAAACACTACACAATCACAGCTCATCCATTCAGAGCCTGCACAGTTCGACACGACCACAACGTCTACTCGTCTTCGGAATCTGAACCTGGATATGACCATTCAGGAATAGGACCTATGCATCTCCAGCCACTGATACACACAGGCTTGAATGAGACCATCACCTGCTGCAGGTCCTCGGGTGGATGGCGCAAACACTCGCCTGTAGCCTTGTTGATCAGGGAGAACGCATGGGCTCCAGATTCATCTTTCACTCGATTGCTCATGGATTCGTCCTTGTACCAGACCTGCCACCAAGCATCAATCAATCAGTCTACGCAAGCTAATAATTGCCATGCTGCCGAATCCCTCTAGCGCCTATTCAAGCCCGGTATAATCCTTGATACAGACGGAGGTTCTGTGTGCAGCATCTGCATAGGATGGAAGATTAACAGGACGTTTGCATTCTGCAAAACATCCCACCGACCACTGTTGATGCCATGACATCCCGGACCTGGAAGACCGTTGAAGAACACTTGTCACTCTGAAGCCAGGTGGACGACTTTGGGCTGCATACCTGGTAAGCGTCGCTCTCGTTGTTGGGGACCATAACCGGTCCTTGACCTGGAATTGCTGCCAGGCAGAAATTAGGATCTGCTCTGCAGTGCAACCTCACGGCTTCTCCAGGCAGCTGTCTTCTTCGAGAAGGTTCGTACCCTGCACTCAACCATTTGCAAGGTTAAGAGGCAAGCACAAATGGCGAGGGCTGAAACGTCGAACCCCCGCATCCAGGACCTCCGTCGATCATCCGCTCGAGTAAAATCAACCTCACAAACAACCACCTCGACTGATGATCACCTCAAAAACTTCACCTACCAGGGCATCGGCACTAAGTCACATCCTACAAACATCAATCTAGTCACCCGGCTCGGTTCAAAAGCCACACCAACGTAAACATCAATACGGAACTCATTCTTTTGTGAGTTGAAGCTATCATTTCACCCGATCCGTGGTAAGCATTAGATCCGGGAGGATGGAGATTACCCCCTCCATGTCCAAAGCCCTGGTCGGAGTAAGGGTTGTTGGACCGAGCATCTTCTCCGTGGTACATGGTGTATATTTGCTGCAAGGTGATACCACACGCAAATTCAAACGAATGGCTCCTAACTTCTGTCTGAATTCCTCCTGCACAGGAGCCCGTCTTATTGTCAAGATGCATACATTGCGCCATGCCCAAAACAAACCACTGCAAGCTATTGACGCTACGATTCAGTGTCATATCCCACCATCTATCCCCCTACTCGCAAGCAATCGAAATGCAAAAACTCAAACCGTAGCCTCAACATGGCATCGAGCGGAACGAAGAAACACAAAGCACGGAAATTCAGAGATGGGTTCGACCTTATGGCAGTGTCTGCATCCAGCACAAACGCTTCGAACTCTCGCTTGATCAGACCTTTCACGCTACCACACAAAATCATCAGCTCCTCCAAGCTCACATCACACATGCCATAGCACTAGTATTTGGAACACGCTTCATCTACAACATCAGCACAATTTATAGCAGTGAAGGATACTATAAACAAAGCAGTAGGCGATCGAAGTAGGCACACCTACACTTTCTCATCCAGCGAGAGTCCTAACCCCTTGTAGCGCTCCGGTAACCACGCACAGATCACCCAACTCCAAACTTGACGCTTCCTTTTGGGGAATTGTGCGTCAATTGTCACAGCAAGGCTCATATGGAACTGCGCACAGTGACTTGGTGGCACCGTACAAGACACCAGATTGGGTATTTGAGCTGCTTTGTGAGCAATTGGGACACTTGGCAAGCAGATTATGAGACAATCGGCGCAGGTCTTGTCAATGGCACTCATTCTGTGTGAGTGTGTGTGCAGACTGGTGGGTCTTCCTTACACTTATCCGAGACTGGTCTCTTGGGGTGCTTTTTCCTTTATTGCCGTCCTGCTTCGTGTGTGCCAAAGATTTATTTGCTCCCGCCCCCCCGATCCCTTCAAGCTTTTCTCTGCGGTTTGGTACACAATTTGAAATGGAATGAAAAGGTGCTGAATCAGTAGTTTCAAGGTTTGAATCTTCATTCATTGTAATTGTTACTTGGGAGGTGATGGGTCCTCTTGTAATTGTCATAAAAGCTCCACTATAAGAAACCTTTTTTTTCATATTTACTTCATTGCATTGTTACCTCTCATCCATTGCAAGGTGTGTTTCGAAAGTGCCCTTAATCACTCTTTCAACACTGTAAATTTTTCAATGTCGTGAATCGATGTTGCTTGTAGTTAGGCTATTTTAAGTTTCATATTGGATTGCATAATTTTTTGTTGTCTTTAAGTGGGGAAGTAGTTTTTTTTGTAATTTTTTATTTTTTTATCAAGATGTATTCAAACAAGCTTGAAGATTTGCTATGCAATGGCCTCAATTTTTCTTTTTTCTTTCTTCTCTTTTCAGGGGTATTTTGATATAATCTTAGGAATGTTTTGATGTAATTGGTATAATTACTTAATATTTGCCTGTAATTCATGGAAATTTCTCAAAGTGTTTTGAAAAACTTTGATAAACTATTTGGGCATTGCACACAATTGTGATGTTTTACCATGCTAGAACAACAATCATGCTGATGTATATGATCATTGTTCTTGACATGGAGTATATAAAAACAATTTTATCATGTTCATAGGTAGGACATGCAAGTTAACATGGAAATGTTTAAATACAAAAATTTATATAATATCAAAAGTAAACCAATCATTATGGCCAAAAAACAACTATACTTCTTTCAATTATGTCCAATGAGGACAACAGAAGTACCTAGATTTAGTGTAATTTTAATTGATGAATTAATAAATCATAATAAATACGATTGTATATGTATTGTCATTACACAACCAATCAGCTAATTTAACTAATTCAATTCCTTATTAAATTATAATCTAATTACATTAAAAATTAATTAAAAAATAATCTTGAAACATTTGAGGTAAAATAACAACTTTCAAAATATTATGTGACCTTTTCTTAAATATATACACAAAAATAATTTTTTAAATTAACTTTACTAAATTTATATCAATCTTCTTGTCTTCCTTTTTTTGAAAATAATTCTATACTGCTTAAATTTTCGGTAATCATTAATTAATAACTTAAATTAAAATTTATTCTAAACGTCAGATTTTTCTATTATATATGGTATATAAATATTAGTTATGTCTTCTTCCAAAATTATTTTTATTTTACTACGTTTTTCTTGTTTTTATTTTTGATGTGCTTCAATTTGAAATTTTTAATTAACATATTTAATTAGGCTTATGAAAAAAATTAATTAAATCAAAAATTAAATTAATAGTTTTAAGTACGAATAATTATTGATACTACATTCATAAAGACACTATCTTTGGCCAATCAAACATGTGTTTTATTTATTGAAGGACTGTATATAAGACGTGCAACTGCAAAGAGCAGATAAAAGCAATGATCTTCATTGCCATCTAAGAATATTTTAATATATAATATTTCTGATATAATTTACATTTTATACTATTATGATTTATTTTCTGTATAAATTTCTTTAAAAAAAATTCATATCTTAAAACACATGTTAGCAGAATTAGACTAAAGCTTAGGAGATGCTAAAGCTCTTTAGATTAGGTTACAAAATTCAAATAAAGGTGTATCATTAATAATAATTACATCATCTTGGTATCACTTTGAATATTATAATTTTGGTATTGAAATTTTAAAAGAATGTAAAACTATAAGATAATTTGATAACACATCATACTTAACTATTAATATTATTTTTGAACTACATAGAATTTTTAACTTTTGATTCAATTTCCATATTTCTAGAAAAAACCCATTCTAAAAAAATTGAATTTTTTCTTCAATTTTGATTTTATTACTTTTTATTAAAAAAATAAAACAAAAAATATTATCAATTATCTAAAATTTTAAATTATACATATAAATGCATATGTATATATATATATATATAATAACTCTTTTTTTGAAAAAAAACCTATATTATTATGTTTTGAAGATTTTAGACTATATTGGTTGAAACAACACATTCTACTTTCTATCCTATCTTCTAAGATCTATCTCCTTTCTCTCTCTCATAATTTCTTCTTATCTTCATATCTACTTAGCTTAAAATCAAATCAAATAATTTAAGAACCTAGCAACAGTGATATTAAAGATTATAACTTAATAAAAACTACTATTATTATAATATATTATTAAAATAATATATGTAATTCTATTAATAGTAAATTTTTAATCAAAAAAATAAAAATAAAAGTTTAGAGTTTTTCTTTTAATTTAATAAAATATAAGAATTATTTTTTATTTTGGAATTTTAGCTTTATATGAAAAATTGAATCATTATTTTTACTATATCTTTTTTTTTTTATGGAATAAAAAACTTTTTATTGAATTTAAAATTAATATTTTTTAAATATTCTTATTATTATATTTAAAAAGCCACAAATATATTTTTTATAAGATAATCAATAAATTTTAGATATATAATAATATATTAGATTAATGGATTGTAAATGATTATGGCATATGTTATTAGTATTTAGGATTTTAGTGTGCAACCTAATTAATGCTTTAAAATAGGCAGAATTCAAGCCTTACCTAATGCAAAGATAAAATTATTCCTCTATCTAAATTATAAGATAGTATTAATTAAGAATTGGTGGTAATTGGCAGTATGAAGTGAAAAGAAAAAATAATAACAAACAAAGACAAATAACATAAAACAAGTGAAAGAATTCCAATTAAGCAATAATACACCACAAAACTAATTATAGTTTATTCATTAGATTTTTTTCAATAAAAAATAATATTAAAATATTAAAAATAAATTACATAATTAATCTTATAATCTTTCCAATGATATAAGAAATATTTAAATTAAAGTTATTATGAGTAAGTTATGATAGTTTAAAGATAGAAAGTAAATTAACAAAATTAAGTAAATAAATTTTACATAAATGATACTTTATCCAAGAAAGCAAAGGTTTGAGTCTCACCAAGGCTCATAAGTAGTGTATAAGAGTGTCATAGAGAGGCCACAAGGCCTTATTTTTATCCTTCTACCTACATCCAAGGTGCTACAATCTATATAGGACTTCTCTTCCTGCAATGACTACACCACCTATTGATCTTCTTATTTTCTACTAGTAAAATAAGTATTTTTTTTATTTTATTTTAATGTGGTATTTAAAAACATCCTATTAGTTTAAAAATCATTAAATTCCTTAAAATTTTCAAAGACATGAATCTCAAAAGAAAAAAAAAAAATTTAATACACTCTTGTGTCACTAAAAAAGAGTAGATATTTACTCAAAATTAATATTGTATTGAAACTAAAATGGCTATTGTATAAAAAAAAGAAGATTAGAAAGTCTTGAAATAAGAGTAAAGACTAAAAAGATATTGAAAAGATTGAAGAAAGCTTTACTTTTGCCTCTATATATATTATCTAACTAGGAATTACATGGTAATGTTTTATAAGACCTCTAATATGTGTCCAACTTATAAGACACATGTCTTAATTTGCAAAGAAAGTTTCTATGTATGCACCATATAATTAGCTTTTACTTTAAGGTATCAAGAAATGTAACACGTGGCTAATTTGTTGGCCAAGTTTCTAATCTATCGATCAACTATAAACACGTATAAAGTCAAAGTCCTATCTGTAAAGCTTTTAGAAAACTTTTCTATAAGATATTATCAAATTTATCTATTTTAATCTATTTATACTTATTCATATTATCTTGATAACTACTGGAGTAAATATATATGTCCATGATATAAATCTTGGTCCATTTTTTCCTAATAGCCTCCCAAGGTGATAAAAATTAATTTTACCAAATTCATAAAAATTGCTCTAAAATTTTCTTTAAAATTTAAAATAGATTCTAAAATTTTCTAAAATATTGATATAATATTGATATAGAATTAAATCTAATTTTTCTTAACTTTTTTATTTTTTATAATAGTGAAATTAATTTGAAATAACTAATAATCACATTTTTTATTTTAATAACTAAAAAGACATGAGGTTCTTTTTTATGCTTCTTCTAATTACTAATTAAGATTTATAGATTTTCTATAAATAATACATGTATTTAGGAGGTCAATATAGAAGTTGGTTTTAATAACTAAATATTAATCTTTAATGATAAATATAAATTCTAAATTAATTAAAATAATTATTTTAAAGATTTATTAAGATTCTATTTCTAATGATGTTTATTCTAATAAGACTCTTGTAACTTATATATACTTTTTAATTCTTAAAAATAATTAAATAAATAATTATATTATTTAATTTTAATATTTTTTATTTTAATAATATAATACTTTATTTTTAATAATTCTAACAATTAAGATCCATTGGTTGAATTCACACCATTACTTCTTTAACTCAATTCAAAGTAACAAGGATTATTTAATATCAAGTTTGTAAAAAAAGGAGCATGGAAATTATTGATCCAAAAGCAGCCACCAATACTCTTTTATCCAAATAGATGTTAGTAGCTCTTTAATAGAGTCAAGTCAATATTTAATAGTTTTATAGATATTACATGATGAATGCTACACCAATGGTTTATGAGATTTTAATACAATTTAGAATACTTCAATTTGATAGAAAACTTTCAACTTGCCAAGACTTAAATGACAATGACTATTCATTAGAAGTTTTTTTCATAACTTTAAGATTTGTTTTAAAAACAAAACCACCAAGAAAATAAGCCTTGAACGTTGATTTCTTCTATGGTCTAATTAGTGAATTGATCTTTGATCTTTTATCATATTCATGTATTATTAGTAAATAATTTATAATATATTCTATTAAACTTAATAGAAAGCTATTTCA